GGTGTTATACACTACGCGCAAGAGTTTGGAGCACGCTTTGATGTCATCTCTAAAAGGACTAAGCTTGGATACACCAACAAATTCCGTAGCTTAGTAAACTCAGCAGGTAGCAATATTGTCTTTGCCGGTTGTTATTTACCTTACTCGGCCAAGAAAAGACCAGTTCCACTCCGTCATTTGGTCCTTTTCTATCAAAATTAGATGTAAAATTTACGCGCAGTGATCACGTGTTTTTTGTTGATGAAATTATAATAACCGTTGGAAGAAAGTTAAAGCAAACCAGACTGGTCATTTAAGTGCAATCACTTCATATCGTATTATAGAAATTCAGAACGAAAATGTTTGTCGCCATCAGGTACTAAGGTCCACTGTGTAATGCGACCACTAAGGAAAATAAAAAATCAAAACTTCAGGGTGTAGAACAATCAATAACTTTTATTGAGTCTACAAGGATTATAAAAGATAGTTTTTGTCAAAGCCACATTGTCTTTGTGATGTTTAGCCTCAGAAAACAGCCGACATCTGGCGACGCTACCACTTGTTTCCCCGCCAAATGACGTTTGAGAAACGAGCGCAGAAATTCCATGCTGATGACGCGTCACTACCCAGATCTGGGTTAGTGCTTCTGATTGGTCGTGCCGCGTGAAATTTGATTCAGCCAATCAGAAGCACTACCCAGATCCGAGTAGTGACGCGTCAGCAGTATGGAATTTCTGGGCTCGTTTCTCCGACGTCATTTGGCGGGGAAACCAGTGGTAGCGTCGCCAAATGTCGGCTGTTTTCTCAGGCTATGTAATGTTGAAATGTACGAAAGAATACCCGTGGAAAATGCCAAAACCTGCGCGCTCACTTGACAGTAGCCCTGACCACTGGTAAAAAGGTTCTTGGACCCAGGCCAGAGTTAGTTAAAATAGGCCAGTTTCGAAAGATTAGAAAATCATGCATAGGCGGTAGCTTCGAGGGTGAGGGTAATACAACAGTGGAAATGAATTATCAATCTCGGAATCTTAACGCAATTGCAGTCTCTTTGGATTTTGTACCCCTCAGGCTTGGAGCCATGAATTTAAATTTAAATCAATTATTCAAATGTCACTTCAAATAATGCTAAAAGCATATTGGTTTCAGTAATTCAAAACTGGCCCATTAGCGTCTTTTGCCAAAACGTCTCACAATAGAGAAGAGAGGTGTGATGTCAGAATAATTCAAATTTGTGAAATTATGGCATTGGTTTAGCATATTCAGAAAAAAAAAATAGGAAAATAGCCTTCCCTGCCAAAAATCAGCTGGTTAGTGCAACATGGTAAGGAGAAGTAAGCACCAATTTGACCTGATGACTCTCTACAAATCCTTCTTAAATTGGCTTGGATCGTAACGTCAAGGACACATGCTTATTTTAGAGGTATTGGTCTTTCTGGATATTCCAACCAATCCCATAATTTCACAAATTTTAGCCTGGGACCAGGCTCATCAGTGAAGGAAAGCGCAAAAGATAAAAAAGGGGACCGTGAAAACAGCAGAAAGCCAGCCGAGCGCTCGCTCGCCACTATTTTTTCGCTCTCTCGATTTTTCTTTTTCACCTTTTTCTCCCACTTGGGAACCTGGTCCTAGGCTACATGAATTTAGATTTTTGTAGCGTCATCACTTCTTTTCTCTGTATTAGAGAGCTTTATTTTGATGAACTGTTGTCATCTTTTCAGAACAGCTAAAAAGGCCTCATGAGGAACATCCACTCTTCCTATTCTCTTCATTCGCTTCTTTCCTTCTTTCTGCTTTTGTAAAAGCTTCATTTTCCTCGTTATGTCACCGCCATACTGCAAATAATAAATAATCAACTTAAATATTATAATAATAACCAATCGTGAGAATGTAATTTCCCCTACCTCCCTCCCTCCCTCAAGTACAGGTGACGCGTCCCACTGAGTGGTGATTTGGAGGATTTAAGATTGAGATGTGCAGTCGGCGCGTGCGTAATACAGTCAAACTTGCGTATAATCGGTCTTCCTTCACACAAGCTGATCGATCACTTATACAGGTTGACAGTTCGATAGAAGTTCAAAAAATCATTAACTTGTTGGAGCGGTTAGTAATTTACCTCTTAATTAGATGGTGACCGTTGACTACAGTTTGAATAAGTATCTAGAAAAATGTAACAATAATAGGCGTTTCCCTTATATGAAGCATCTTGTCAGGAAAGACTTAACAACTATTCTAAAAAGCAACCACAGAATATCCAGCAACAAAATCAACCTAACAAACAAACAAAAACGAAAATCGTGTGCGTGACACACACACACAAACACAAATTCAAAAAACACATACTAAAAAAATAAATAAATAACTACAAGATTTGAATAAGAAGCGATTGCAATAAACATTTGGATAAAAAATACTGCGCTAAAATGTTTCTCATATTAAAAAAAAGTTAAAAACGACGACGTTTCGACGTTCAACAAACGTCATTATCAAGTCAAAAAATAAGTGTCTGTTGCAGAGTATAAAGTGGTACAAAGTGGTCAACGAGATAAAACTTACGCATTTTGCAGTGACGTCTTTTCTGAGTGCTTTAATCCTAGAAAGAAAAGATTACAAATTGTTAAGAAATAGAAGGAGGAAAAAGGTCAAAGCAAACAAGAAAGCTACAACCGATCTACTCAGCCTGACCGGAAAGTAAGGAAAACTCGATTGTTATTAAAATCAGTTTTTTTTCTTTTTCGACCAGGTAACCACTTTAGCCGGATTCACCAGAAACGTTGTCGAACATGTATTCTGTAGATTTCTTAAAATTTCTTTAATTACTTGACAGATCTACAGCTACAGTCATTGTAGTATTTGATTTGCTCAGTCATGTCCGACTGAATGTAGGATTTCGTCGATCGGGGGAAAATTTTAGTCTGATATTGTTGACCTACACTACAGGCGCTTTTTATAGGTGTGCGTTTTTTTTCCCTCACATAATCGCCATATTGAACCCGGCACTCTTCTCTCCGGCTCAATCTAGCCTGCGTCATCGCAGGCGACAGTCTTAATCCCTGATACCAGCTGCAACGCAGGCTACCCCCAACCTTCCTCTGTCATAAAATTGAAGATAGCTGCTAAAGTGTTGTGAACATAAACAAGGAGCTTTCGCTCGCCCTTAACTAAGGCATACATTGCAGGCTAGGCCATACATTGTTCGCTGTCCGACTATAACCTGTAGCTCATGAAAGAGGCGCGACATGACGCACAACGTGTTGTGCCAATGACGTTAAAAGAAGACACTACGTATTCAAATGTACAATTCCTACGTTTCTCTTGCTGTAATCTTTCCTCTGATAGAAGCTTGGATAACCACTTCAAATAGCTGCCTAAAGTGGAAAAAAAAAATCAAAATAACAAAGAACATTGAAAACGCTGGACGAAGCGTTAGTTTCTCGCTTTCTCAACTCTTTGTATCAGACGATAGCAGGGAGGTGCTTTTATAAATTCGACTGCACAGTGTATAGGGCTGAGGGAGGGTAACCCAAGCAATCCATTTCTGATACATTTCTTCTTCTTGTTTGCATGTGTTAACAAGGCATGAAAAGTCACACCTCGCCTCTCCTTTTTTACTTTGTTTAATGGCTTGAACAGGCCGTACGCAGGGTAATAAAAGGTGGGATCCATTTAAAGCAAACCAGACTGGTCATTTAAGTGCAATCACTTCATATCGTATTATAGAAATTCAGAACGAAAATGTTTGTCGCCATCAGGTACTAAGGTCCACTGTGTAATGCGACCACTAAGGAAAATAAAAAATCAAAACTTCAGGGTGTAGAACAATCAATAACTTTTATTGAGTCTACAAGGATTATAAAAGATAGTTTTTGTCAAAGCCACATTGTCTTTGTGATGTTTAGCCTCAGAAAACAGCCGACATCTGGCGACGCTACCACTTGTTTCCCCGCCAAATGACGTTTGAGAAACGAGCGCAGAAATTCCATGCTGATGACGCGTCACTACCCAGATCCGAGTAGTGACGCGTCAGCAGTATGGAATTTCTGGGCTCGTTTCTCCGACGTCATTTGGCGGGGAAACCAGTGGTAGCGTCGCCAAATGTCGGCTGTTTTCTCAGGCTATGTAATGTTGAAATGTACGAAAGAATACCCGTGGAAAATGCCAAAACCTGCGCGCTCACTTGACAGTAGCCCTGACCACTGGTAAAAAGGTTCTTGGACCCAGGCCAGAGTTAGTTAAAATAGGCCAGTTTCGAAAGATTAGAAAATCATGCATAGGCGGTAGCTTCGAGGGTGAGGGTAATACAACAGTGGAAATGAATTATCAATCTCGGAATCTTAACGCAATTGCAGTCTCTTTGGATTTTGTACCCCTCAGGCTTGGAGCCATGAATTTAAATTTAAATCAATTATTCAAATGTCACTTCAAATAATGCTAAAAGCATATTGGTTTCAGTAATTCAAAACTGGCCCATTAGCGTCTTTTGCCAAAACGTCTCACAATAGAGAAGAGAGGTGTGATGTCAGAATAATTCAAATTTGTGAAATTATGGCATTGGTTTAGCATATTCAGAAAAAAAAAATAGGAAAATAGCCTTCCCTGCCAAAAATCAGCTGGTTAGTGCAACATGGTAAGGAGAAGTAAGCACCAATTTGACCTGATGACTCTCTACAAATCCTTCTTAAATTGGCTTGGATCGTAACGTCAAGGACACATGCTTATTTTAGAGGTATTGGTCTTTCTGGATATTCCAACCAATCCCATAATTTCACAAATTTTAGCCTGGGACCAGGCTCATCAGTGAAGGAAAGCGCAAAAGATAAAAAAGGGGACCGTGAAAACAGCAGAAAGCCAGCCGAGCGCTCGCTCGCCACTATTTTTTCGCTCTCTCGATTTTTCTTTTTCACCTTTTTCTCCCACTTGGGAACCTGGTCCTAGGCTACATGAATTTAGATTTTTGTAGCGTCATCACTTCTTTTCTCTGTATTAGAGAGCTTTATTTTGATGAACTGTTGTCATCTTTTCAG